CATCCCTGGTGGTTACCAAAGTGAAAAAGGACCAGAGCAGGGTTTTGCAGTTCTATCAAAAAATGCAGCTTTCAAGGCCTTTGTTATAACAAACACACTCGCCTTGTGTATGTCTAGTTTCTCTGTCTTGATGCACCTTTATGTATCGATGCACACAAAGCGAAAAGGGACTTCTGCAGCGTTTGACGTGGTGTTGTATATCACTATGTTGGCTTTAATTTTTATGGTGGTTGCATTCATTACAGGGACATATGCAGTATTATGTCATTCTCCGGGACTTGCCATTACGGCTTGTGTGATTGGCTGCTTTTTCTTTCTTATCTTGACTCATGTCACACTTTCTGAAATTTCCCCTCCCTATCAACTGACGGGTTTGGGACTCCTTTTTTCTATACGATTCTCAGATATTTAGGTTTGTTTTTCTGTTCCAAATAAGTCCCTACTATGTAGAGAGACTTGTTTTACTGTTTTGACTCTTTCCTTATGCACGTTACCTCATTTCTGTTAGTGTGAATCGTGGGCTGTATTTCAGCTGTTTGTTAGTTCATGTAAGGCTATATAATAGCCAAAGGTTGCTGTTCAATGATAAGTCATTCAATCGAGTTATTGCGTTTGAGTTCTTTGCTTTCTTGTTCTCATTCTCAACAAACTGGTATCAGAGCTCCCACTGGGCCTGAGAAAAAGAAGCCGCAGCTTTTGAGTGATTTCAAAACACAGAGAGAGAGAGAGAGAGAGAGAGAGAGGAAGATGACCACCGAAGGAAATTATGTGCAACCAGCCATTCCACGTTTTGATGGTCATTATGACCATTGGATCATGCTTATGGAAAATTTTCTTTCGAAGCAAAGAGTATTGGAGTATGATTGAAACCGGTTATGAAGAGCCGGCAATAGGAGCATGACCTCTATCAGAAGGGCAGCATAAAGAGTTAGAACCATTGAAGCTCAAGGACCTCAAGGCCAAGAACTATCTTTTCCAAGCGATAGAATTCTGGAGACGATCTTGGAGAAGGATACATCAAAGAAGATCTGGGAATCCATGAAAAAGAAATATGAAGGCAACGCTAGAGTGAAGCGTGGGATTGGGGAGTGAGGAGTCCAAGGGGTATAGATTGTTTGATCCTATAGCTAGAAGAATTGTTATGAGTAGAGATGTTTTTTTTTAGGAAGAAAAGCAGTGGGATTGGGGAGTGAATTTTGAGGTGCAAATCTTGTTAGACTTGGAGTGGGGAGAAAATGACGAAAACAATGAGGGTGAAGAGAGGGTGAGTGAAAATAGAGGTGAAGATGGCAATGGTGATAGAAGGGAAATAAGTGAGAGTGAGGGCAGTGAAGAAGCACGGGGTAGAGAAGTAGGAAATCCTAATGAGCCTGGTGAGAATGAAGGGAGAGTGAGACGTCTTCCTCCTTATTTGAACGATTATGTTGGTGGAGAAGGTTTGAGTGAAGATGAGGCACACATGGCACAAGTTGTGGCAACTGAAGATCCTTTTCATTTTGAAGAAGCAGTGAGGAATGTGAAGTGGAGACAAGCTATATATGGACAGTGAGATCAACTCCATTGAAAAGAACAAGGCATGGACATTAACTGAGTTGCCTGCTGGAGCTAAAAAGATCGGTGTCAAGTGGGTTTACAATACCAAGTACAATGAGCATGGGGAGATTGACAAGCATAAGGCATGCTTAGTAGCCAAAGGCTACTCACAGAAGCACGGCATAGACTACACAGAGGTCCTTGCACCAGTGGCAAGGATGGACATGGTGAGAACGATCATTGCTTTGGCAGCCCAAAATGGTTGGAAGATTTTTCAGTTGGATGTCAAGTCAGCATTCCTTCATGGAGAGCTAAGTGAAAATGTTTACGTTGAGCAACCAAGGGGTTACGAGAAGAAAGGCAAGGAGCATTTCGTCTACAAGCTACACAAGGCTTTGTACGGATTAAAACAAGCTCCACAAGCTTGGTTTAGTTGGATCGAAGCACATTTCATGAATGAAGGCTTCCAGAGGTGTGACAGTGAGCAAACTTTGTTTACAAAGAGGAACAGAGAAGGAAAGATTATCATTGTAAGTATCTATGTTGATGATTTAATTTTTACTGGTGATGATGAGGATATGATGTCTGAGTTCAAGAGTTCTATGTTAAGAGAGTTTGATATGTCTAATTTGGGAAGCATGAGATTCTTCCTTGGCATCGAAGTACCTCAAAGAGCAGATGGTATCTTTATATGTCAAAAAAGGTATGCACTGGA